TGCAGACCATCCTAGTCACACTCCCCTGTCAGCATTCACAGACCACAGTGAGAACAGGCCCAGTTCGTCACACCTCCCCACCCAGGGCAGGTTCAGACTTGGGTCGTGTAGTGATTTTTGTTGTCAGAAGGGGGTCGCGGAGCAATGAAGTTTGGGAACCGCTGGACTACACTCAGCGCTGTGGGAGGGTCCCAGCTCAAGGAGACGTGCTAGTGCTACTGCTCAAGCTAGTGCGTGAAGAGAGTGTAGCCGGGTCGCTGGGCCGAGTACATACCCCGTCCCGCTGGCCGTGCGGCCATCAGCGCTAGTGCGAGGGAGGCTCCTCCAGCCCCAAGTGCAGACGTAGGCCGAGCGTGTGAACCACCAAACAAGTGACCTTAACGCTCGCTCCCAGCTAAGCAGCAGCTCCGGCAGGGCCCATGCTCGTTAGACACGGCCACTCATCCTGCCGCTCACTCCTTCGCCGGGCCCCGGTGAGCAGGCCGCAAACGCTGCTTGGAGCAGCTGCACGCCACAGGCCAACGCCGGTGCTTACAAAAACCCAACGGTGTCGACAGGCAGAAAAAAACACAGGACTTTTCGGGTGACCGGAAAGAAGGGCCCGGGGCACCAGGCCCTCACCGGAGAAACTGGGTCTGTCCCAATAAACCAGAGTGGCGGCTGCGTTAGGGTCACCACACAGCGGTGGTTCATCTCCAGCGTCAGGCAGTCTGTTGGTCATGCTGAAGCTCACACAATCTGGGCTTGTATCTGCCGCCAGCCTAGGGCCTTTGGCTGAGTGACGGTGAATAAAGCGCTGAGCGTTTCCCTGTTCGGGAGCCGGAGGGGGCAGGAATCCCGTGTCCTTTGGGACGACAGGCAGGCAGGGGCTGGGTGCCAGAGCGGCACCGTCCCGTCCCCCGGAAATGGAGCAGTTCGTCAATGCTCAGCGAGAAGAATCGTCTGACTCCCAGCATTTGCTTAGGTCTCGCAGCCCCCCGGGACAGGCCTGGCACTCGCTGTTGGCGTGGAGCTTGGGGAAAGCCCAGCACCCAGATGGAAATCGGGGTCCTGCTGGTGTCACGGAGTGGGGGGACGTCAGGGCCCTGCACCCCTCTTCCTGCGATTCACCGTGACTCTCAGCCAGCCAGTAAAACGAAAGGTTTATTGGTCAGTAGGAACACAGTCTAAAACAGGGCTTGTAGGCACAGCCAGGACCCCTCAGTCAAGTCCTTCTGGGGGGTTCAGGGAGCTTGGACCCCAGCTTGGGGTTCCCTGCATTCCACCCCCCAGCTGAAAACTGAAACTAAAACCTCCTCCAGCAGCTCTCTCCCCCCTCCCCTCTGCTCCTCCTCTCCTTTGCCCAGTCTCCGGCCAGGTGGTGTCACTTCTCCCAACCCCCCTCCTGGCTCAGGTTACAGCTCAGGGGTCTTCCCTCAAGGGAAGTCCCCCATCCCCAATGTAACTCCCCTGCAACATTCCCAGGTCAAATCCACCCGCTCCCTGCTCCGTCACAGCTGATCTCTGCACAGAGCAGCAGAGGTTGCCAGGGCCCCCGATCTCCTGTAGCCCTTGTACGTTCCCGGCGCTGTGCAGATGTGAGGCTATTAGCGACCCTGCCCTTCCCAGAGACCCGATTGCTGCCCAGGCGAATGAAATCACATGGGAAATAGTGACTGGCCTGCCCGGTGGTGTGAGCGCTGCCCAGTGCCAGCCCGAGGCCGCTGGGCTCTGACCATGCGTCTCCAGCCACACCCAGCGCAGGGCTCTGTCCCGTGTGCCTTTGTAACTGCAATCCAGACCTGGAGGCGAGATGCTTTCTCTGCGTCTCTTCCTTTCCCAGCAAAGCAGAGGGTGGCGTGAGAGCTGGGTCCTCGCTCTGGCAGGATTCTGGCTGGAGTCAGCTGGCAGTGGGAGGGCAGGGGGCTCGTCTCCGGGCACCTGGCGCTTGACCTGCAGCGCCGTGTCCAGGCAGAGCTGGGCAGCATGTGCTGGGTGCAGCTGATGGCCGATTCCTTTGGGCTTCTCTTGCACAGCCCAGCCCTGCATGGGGCCGTGCACAGACCCTGCATTCCTGGGGCTGAGGGCTCAGAGCAGCCCGGTGAGCCAGCGCTCGTCCCTCGGGGTCAGCCCTGTCCCACACACGGACTTGTCTTTGCTTTCATTTTCCACGCGTTCCCCCCCTTCCCCCCCGCCGCCCCTCTGCCTGTTTGAGGAATGCAAAGGCCCTGGGGCTCCCTGCAAAGTAGGGTGACCAGATGAGGGAAAGAAAAAATCGGGACACATGGGAGGGGGGAGCAAAAAAAAAAAAAAAAGGCGAGTCAGTCCCTGCGAGCGGATATCTGGACAATTTGTGTCCCGACCAAAGATCGGTCGGGACGCGGGACACGCCCCGAAATATCGGGACGGTCCTGATTTTATCGGGACATCTGGTCACCCTACTGCAAAGTCTCAGGCCCTTGGCTGAGATAGTGGGGCTTTAACAAAGGGAGCATTCGTTTGGATACCTACCTGGCTGCAGGAACAGGAGAGGCCTCCACAAATAAAATCTGCACCACCCCTGCCCCCAGGGGCACTTTACCAGTCAGAATGAACGCAGCTTCCCAGCCCTGCCTCAGCAGCTCCATTTTACAGATGGGGAAACTGAGGCACGGAGCAGGTCAGGGGCTCTCCTGACAGCCTCTGTCAGAGCTCTGAATGGCGATGGAGCAGAGTTGTCTGGAAACGAAACGTGTCGCTGTGAAGAACCCCGGCTTGCCACGGTTCCCAGTGCTGGGTGGGGGGTCTACACAGGCGATCTGTCCCTGTGCATGTGCACCGGGGGAGAGAGGAGGAATTGGTCTTTGAAACATCAGTTCAGCTGGGAAGCACCAACATTCCTCAACACATTGTCTCCCGTTGCCATGGCAGCGATAATATTATTAGACTCAACTTACGTCAATTCTGGGTCTACGTTGTTTGGGCGGGCGGGTCAGGCCTGAGCGGCGTGAAGCCGTGGGGCTCGGGCGGAAAACACACACAGGTTGTTCCAGCATTTTACCTCTCCAGGAAACTGACAGCAGTAAGTGCGGTCGCAGGCCAGGGCGCTGAGCCGGCTGCTCTCAGGCGCTGAGTGTGGGCGCTGGGCCACGGTGCGGGGCTTGGCAAGGGGCACGCAGTGTTCTGCAGGGGAACGGGGGAGCTTCCGGTTTTAACTCCCCCCGTCCCTGCTGGCCGTCACCAGCTGCCTGGGGCACAGGGTTAGGGGCTTTCCCCAGCTCGGCAGTGGTGTCCCGTCCTGTGCGCCCCCGCTGGAAATCTGCCACTTTCATGCTGCTCATGGACCTCACCTAGCCGCGCGCCAAGGGGCTCTGAGGTGGGGGGCGTTCAGTGGGCTCTGACCAGCCTGGCGCCCACTGGCTCTCAGAGCAGCCTCTTGGCTCACCAGCTGCTCAAGGAAGGACAGAGGCAGGTGCCGGAACGGTCACAATGGCCGGACCCGGGCAGTGTCCCCAACTCCCAGAGGGCGATGGCCTGGCGGGGGGGCTGTGCCCAACGCTCCGACCGGTCTCTGCATGTTCTCTCCCCCAGACAAGCAGCATGAGGTGGAAATTCCCTCCCCCACGCCCAAGGAGAAGGAGGCGGAGAAGACGACGCGCCCCATGGCCCAGATCAGCGGCCTGAAGAAACTGACGCACAGCTCCAGCTTCATCAGCTCCAGCATCCCTCGCTTCGGGGTCAAGACGGACCAGGAAGGGCTCCTGGCCAAGGTGAACAGGGCCATGAGCCCACACGCTGAGGGAGGGGGAGGAATGCTTCGCCCCTCGGCCCCGTGTCCCCCTGGCTGCCCCCCCCCATCCTGCCGCCAGGCCTGTGCCGCCTGCGCCCCCCCCCCCACCCCGTCCCACCGCCAGGCCTGTGCCGCCCGCACCCCGCCTCCCGCCCCGTCCCACCGCCAGGCCTGTGCCGCCCACGTCCCCCCTCCCGCCCCCATCCCACCGCCAGGCCTGTGCCGCCCGCACCCCCTGCTGACTCACTGCCGTGTGTCTCTCCCAGGAACTCAAAGATACAAACAAATGGGGTCTTGACATGTTTAAAATCACCGAGTATTCTGGCAACCGCCCGCTTACGGTCGTCATGTACAGCATCTTCCAGGTGAGTGAGCCCCAGAGGGGCCCCAGTGGGGGCAGGGCATGGGCAGCGTGGAGCAGGGGGTGGGGGGCAGCAGGGGGCAGGGTGGGGGGGCAGGGGACAGGGCGGGGGCAGGGAGGGGCAGCACGATGCCTCGCGCTCTAACCTGACCTCCCCGCACAGTCACTGGCCTTGCCTCTCCCGAGCTCGTCCTTGTCCGCACGACCCTCCAGGGCAGCTGTGTCTGGGGAGGTGCCAGGACAACCGTAGGTCAGAGAAACTCCGTGGAGTTCTGAATTAAAAACCCTTTGTCCAGTGAGCTGGGGACTGACCCTGGCTCGTCCTGAAGCTGGACTGGGGTAGCGGGAAGGTCAGTGCCCTGTGCTGAGCCCGTCCCGCCCTCTCTGCTGCCCGGCAGGAGCGGGACCTGATGAAGACCTTCAGCATCCCAGCCGACACCTTCATCACCTATCTGATGACCCTGGAGGACCATTACCATGCCGACGTAGCCTATCACAACAATATCCACGCCGCAGACGTGGTCCAGTCCACGCACGTGCTGCTGTCCACGCCGGCTCTGGAGGTGAGGGGGTGGGGACAGCTCTCGGAGTCGCTCCCCCACCCAGGCTCCAGACTGGGAGGCTAGTGGGGCGGCACACCGGGTCTGCCCCTGGGCTCCAGAGCTTAGTGCCCCCCAGAGCACGTCTCTCTGCAGCCTGGGCTAGGTCTGCACCATGTCACAAGCCACCCATCCCCAGTGAGGTGTGTCCATCCTGCAATTAAAGAGCCATCTTTGCATAGGAATCGTAGAATCAAAGAACTGGAAGGGACCTCGAGAGGTCATCTAGTCCAGTTCTCTGCAGTCAAAGCAGGACTAAGTAATATCTAGACCATCCCTGACAGGTGTTTGTCCAACCTGCTCTTAAAAATCCCCAATGATGGAGATTCCACAACCTCCCTAGGCCTTTTATTCCAGTGTTTAACCACCCTGACCGTTAGGAAGTTTTTCCTAATGTCCAACCTAAACCTCCCTTGCTGCAATTTAAACCCATTGCTTCTTGTCCTGTCCTCAGAGATTATCGAGAGCAATTTACCTCCCTCCTCCTCATCACAACCTTTGACATACTTGAAAACTGTTCTCATGTCCCCTCTCAGTCCCCTCGTGCAGCCCAGTTTCCTGGAGTTTTGGGTGGTCCCTGAAGGCAGGTCGCACTGTCTGGGTGGGACAGATGGCCGCAGGGAAGGAGGGACGTAGGGGCAGGGGTAGGAGTTACACTTCCTCCTCCCGACGTTGTCCAGCAGATGCCGGGTCTCCCCACAGTCCCATCCTGGACCTGTTCACACCAGGATCCCAGCTGGGGGATGCCTCCCGCCTGGAGCGTGTGGGGAATACCCCGACTTCCCTCGCCCCAGCTCGCTGCCCGAGACATGCAGACAGCCCGGTACGCGGGCGCCTCCAGCCGCAGTTAACCAGAGCTAAGGGGCTTGATCCCAGTGGGCTGTGGTGACGTACACCTCTGGCTCCCCCAGCGTGCAAACCCACGTGTTCGGTGTATCCGTCGGCCTGCAGAGCGGCTTTCTTTCCGTTCTGACTCCCTGTCCCTCGGTTCCAGGCTGTGTTCACGGACCTGGAGGTCATGGCTGCCATCTTCGCCAGCGCCATCCATGACGTTGACCACCCAGGCGTGTCAAACCAGTTCCTGATCAACACCAGTGAGTTCAGCTCCCCCAGGAACCCGCCAGTCCCAGGCCGGTCCTGGGAGACACGTGTGTCATAGGGTTGGCTGCCCCAGGCCACTGTGATGAGACACTGGCCAGGTGGAGGAGCCCTTGCAAAGGCCTGGCAGTCCCAGGGTTAATGCCACTGCCAGCCTCCTCTGACCATCCAGGGCTCCAGCCGCAGTACGTGAAGTCCCTGTGCTGGGCACGGTGGGTCTGAACCCCAGTGTAGCCATGGGTGTTGGGAGCCTACGTGTGGTTCTTCTGCAAACAGTTGCGGTGCAGACACGCTCATTCAAGGGCCCCCCAGACGGCTTCTGCAGTTGGTATCGACGTGGCCCCGGGTATCACATGAGGTGCCCTGGACCCGGCTGGGGCCAATCATTTCCCAGTGCAGGCCCCTTTGCAGCAGGGGTCCCACCGGGAGCTGCCGGCAGCCACAGGGACGGGCTGGCAGCCGGGAGCCTGCGTCGGCCTCTCGCGCTAACCCCGCCTGTCTCTGCAGACTCGGAGCTGGCTCTGATGTACAACGACGTCTCTGTCCTGGAGAATCACCACTTGGCCGTGGGCTTCAAGCTCCTCCAGGAGGAAAACTGCGACATCTTCCAGCACCTCAGCAAGAAGCAGCGGCAGTCGCTCCGCAAGATGGCCATCGACATGGTGAGGGGGCCAGGGCCTGCTCGGTGCTCATGAGACGCAGGATTGACCCCGACTCCCTGGGGGTCCGGCCTAGGTATTCCCCAAGGTCAGCCCCCAACGCCTGCATGGAGTGACGGCCTGACAGTAACGGCCCCTTTGACTGACCTGACGCCTGTCTGCCCTTGTGCCCTTGGTGCGTTGCTATTGCAGAGCAATGGCCCCGATGCAGCTGGCTCTGGGGTCTCTCACGCACAAGCACCCGCCGCTCTCAGCAGGGCTTGGCAGAGTCAGGGTCAATGATTCACGGACTCTGGTGGCCCGGAGGGAGCTGGACACGCTATTCCCTTCACTCCGAACAGGACTTGGCTGCTCTGGGCACGGCTGATCTTGGTCTCCATCCTGTGCTGTGACATCCCTGGAGTGGGAGAGTCACAGCCTGCGAGGTTGTCACGGAGTCCTCGGGCAATGCTCTGGAACTGCTCCCCTCAAAGCCAGTCAGGACTTTGGGGAGCCTCCTCTCCCTCGGAGCAGACTGTCTTCAGGGCAAGAAGCTCACACGGCTTCACCTCCTGGGTCTGACCTTGGAGCATTCAGCACATGCCCCTCCGTGCGCTTCCCACAGCGAGTCCACCCAGGCGGGGTCCTGGGGAAGCCAGAAGGCCCTGCACCCCCACTTCACAGTCAGACGTGACTCTCAGCCAGCCAGTAACACAGAGGTTTATTAGATGACAGGAACATGGGCTAAAACAGAGCTTGTAGGTACAGAGAACAGGACCCCTCAGCCGGGTCCATTCTGGGGCCCAGCGAGCCAGACAACCCCATCTGCCCTCACTTCCAGTCCCCAGCCAGCTCCAAACTGAAAACCCCTCCAGCCCCTCCTTTCTGGCCTTTGTTTCTTTCCCGGGCCAGGAGGTCACCTGATCTCTTTGTTCACCTTTAGCTATCCCCTTGCAAGGGGGAAGGCCCTGGCCATTTGCTGCTAGGAGCCAGATTGTCAGCCATGTATGCACACTGGAGACTTAAGAAATGCATAGGGGAAACTGAGGCACTCACACAGCATTCACAGGAAACATTAAGAACAGTCCCACTTTGTCACAGAGGTCCCCTCTAGCTGCCCCCGTGCCAGCCAGCCTGGGATTGTTCCCCACCCCGGGCACCAGCGATCGGACTGGCCCAGGAGGCACAAGAGACCTGCACTCGGTTCCACGGAGGTGGCTGCTGGAGCCAGGGTGCTGGGGGAGTGGAGGGACAGGCTGCCTGGTTTGCTGAGCTGCTCGGCTGGACACAGGCTAATGGGTGCCCTCTCCTCCATGCAGGTGCTGGCAACGGACATGTCCAAACACATGAACCTGCTGGCAGATCTGAAGACGATGGTGGAGACCAAGAAAGTGACCAGTCTGGGAGTCCTGCTGCTGGATAACTACTCGGACCGAATCCAGGTGAGAGCGAGGGGCTCTGGGACCCCGACCCCACGCAATGGGGCAGCTCAGCACTGCAGGCCCCAGCCCTTCCTCCTTATTGCTTCACCCATCGGCCGGAATGGCTCATGTAGGTGGGTCTCCGGCCTGTGATGAGACAGTGACACTCCTTGGCGGAGACATTCCTCGCTGCTGCCCCCTCTGCCCTTCTGAACCCGAGACAGATCCCAACCACCCCCCTCCTCCGGCCCCACCACAGCACTCAGAGCTCCAGCCCCAGGTCTGGCTCCAGGCTGGGCTGCTCCGGTGCTGTCCTTGCAGGGGGATATTGAATGAATGCCCAGCCAGGGCCCTGCCCCCTCTGCTTTGGGCATCTCGTGCAGACATTGCCAGGTCCCAGCTCAGCGCTGCCCCCGAGGGACGGGCCCTGGGAGTGGGGCTGGCCAGGGCAGCCAGGCATCGGGGAGGCGGACGGGCTCTTTGCAAAGCGGTGACTGTCCTTCCCCCCAGGTCCTGCAGAACATGGTTCACTGCGCTGACCTCAGCAACCCCACCAAGCCGCTGGAGCTGTACCGCCAGTGGACGGACCGGATCATGGTGGAGTTCTTCCACCAGGGGGACCGGGAGCGGGAGAAGGGCATGGAGATCAGCCCCATGTGTGACAAGCTCAGCGCCTCCGTGGAGAAGTCCCAGGTGGGGCTGGGGCCGGGGCTGGGCTGGACACAGCTCGGGGTGCAGGGGCCAGCGAGGTGCCATGGAGCACAGCGGGAGGGAGGGAGGGATGTGGCCCTGGGAGGAGGCTTCTCTGGGAGCCCTCTGCGCCCACCGGAGCCGGGGGAACCATCACCGAGAAGAGGGCAGGGCTCTTGGGCTCTGCTGCCACCCCACTGCACTCGCCAGTGGGCAGGATCCTGCCGCGGCCCCGTCCACCCGGCACGTTGGCTCCGAGGCAGCGTCCGGGCTCTCGTGGAAGGATCCGGGTGGGGAGAGGCAGCCTGGGCGCGACCCCTGGGGGCGATAGCAGGGAGGAGCTGGCACCACTCCAGGTCCTTTGGAGTTGCCCATGGGCCCGCCCGTCAGCAGCCTCTGGAAGTTGGCAGGTCCCAGGGCAGGTCCCCACGGGGTCAGAATTGGACGGGGGAAGTTGATGTAGATGCTGGGCCTGACTGCAGGACTCCCCGGGACAGGGATGCTGCCCCCGTAGGGATGTGCCTGGACCTGCCCGTAACCCCCAGCTCTGCTTTTTCTCACAGGTGGGCTTCATCGACTACATCGCTCACCCGCTGTGGGAGACGTGGGCCGACCTGGTGCACCCCGACGCCCAGGAGATCCTGGACACGCTGGAGGACAACCGGGAGTGGTACCAGAGCATGATCCCGCGCAGCCCCTCGCCGCCCGAGGAGCAGGACCCCGAGAAGGGCGGTGGGGGGGAGAAGTTCCAGTTCCAGCTGACCCTGGAGGAGGAGGGCGAGTCGGACACTGAGCCGGAGGAGGCCGAGAGCCCGCTGGAGGAGGACAACAGTGGCAGCGACTCCAAGATGCTGGCCACGGACGACTCGGAGTCGCCAGAGCTCGAGCGCCTGTCCCCTGGCTCCGCTGGCCGGGACTCTCCGCCCCCCACGCCCAGCGGCCCGCTCAGGAACACGCTGGTCAAGCAGAAAGAGGCCTTGCACTTTGACAACAGGAGGGCTCTGGAGAGGACGCTCTCGCAGCCCGACGGCGGCACCTCGGAGCTGGGCCGCAGGGGGAGCCTGGAGGCCAAGGAGCTGGCCCTGGACACAGAGGGGAACCTCACGTTTCTGCCACTGGGGACGTAACGGGCAGGGCCCGCTGTGCCCATTGGTTGGGTCTGGGAGCCACCTGGAGACTGGGCACCGCAGGGTCGTTAATAAAGAGAGCGAGATTGGGGCATGGAGCACATGAGCTCTGTGGGCCCCCACCCTCCCGTAGCACCCACTGGGGACTGAGATCAGGACCCTCTGGAGGGAGCAGGCAGCAGCTGGCCAGGCGGGCCCGGACTAGAATCGTCAAGCTGCCATGTGCCCTCGAGTGATGACCGGGCACACGGCGTGGGAATGGCTCTGTCCCTGAGCAGGCCCCCAGCCGCCCGGGGCGGGTCTGTGTGCTGCCACTGGGCTCGGACAGGGCTGCGGCCGCAGCATTGTCGTGTGTGTCTTGCCTCACTATCCTCGGTCTCACCCTGTGCCCTACGTCCCCGCGCCTGCCAGCCAGGGCCCGACCCGGACCTGGATGGGCAGAAGGGCTGGGAGCTGCGGGGAGGGCAGACAGGCCACGCAGACCCACGAGCATCCCTGCTGCTCACAGCTAAGCACTGTGTCCCCTTCAGGCTGCAGCTCTGGGCTCCTGAGTGGGGAGCGTGTTCCCTGGTACCCCTGGCCGTGCCCCCTCGGACCCTGGTCCTCTCCCCCTCCCACCCTGCCGGGAGGCACTGCCTCTCCTCCCGGGGAAGCCAGGCCTTTGATCCACATGCACATCGGGGCTGTGCCAACCCGGCGGCCCAGCTAAGCCCCTAGCAGCATCCCTGCCTTGAGCTCCTTAGCAGCCAGTCTGCAGTGTCCTGCCTGTTAGCGGCTCATCAGCCCCCTCCGTGAAGCCCTGCCCACCCTGCGGAAGGGGATGTGAGGCGGGGACCCCCCTCCAGGAGGTGGGGCTTTGCCCCCACGTTCCAGCTCCAAGCACTCCGCCCCGTGGCTGCAGGGGCTGGAGCGCTGGGTGCATGCAGGCCGCAGCTGGGATTTCCTCACAGGGTGACAGTCACATCATCTCCCCGGGAGCTCGGGGCCGGCCGGGCACTCAGCTGCTGTGACCTGGCGCAGCTCCTTGGTACCCAGCAGAGCTGCTGGTCTCGGGCCCTGTGAGTAACAGAGCCGGGAAGGAACCGTCCCGTGTCACCGGGCGCAGGCCCCGCTCCCACCGGCCGCCCCAAGGGCTCTGTCCATGGAGGCAACTCCCCGTGGAAGGGCTCCCACCCCCTGCGGCTGGGCCTGGGAGCCATAGGGGAAGGGAAGGGGAAGGGGAAGGGGAAGAAGCTGTCTGGGTCTCAGGCACCTTTATCCGGGCTCATGGTGCCCACGCCGGGAGCTGTGCTGCTCTAGCGACTTTCCCCGCCTCTCCCTGTCCTCCCTGCCCAGCTGTGCGGGTCCCAGTGAAGCCAGCAGGAGGCACGGCTGGTAATGGGAGGTTTTATGGAAGGCCCTGGGTGGCAGAGGGTCTCTGTATTTACAGGAGCTGTCACGGAAAAGTGTCTAGTGCTGCCCGTCAGGGACGCCCCGTTCTCACGTGTTGTCCTGCGCTGGGACCTAGACCACACAAGTACTTTATACTTTGGTGTGCTGCTGTGAATCTCCATTGCCTCTAATTTATGCAACTAAACGAACTGGCTGGCCCCCCTCAGCGGGGGGACGGTCAGTGCAGGGGCCGGGCACTGACATACCCCCGGCTTCCCTGACGCCAAACAGCCCTTTGCCGGCAGACACTGCAGAATAGGAACCAAAAGGGGAGATGCGTAAAACGCCGCTTTAAACGGTTCCCCTCACAAAGCACCACTGGCTCTCCAATGCAACAGCACCCCGACTGTGGGGGGGGCTGGGAGACCCTGGAGCACTGCGGGGGGGGCTGGGGAGACCAGAGAGCGCTGCGGGGGGGGGGACTGGCTGTGGGGGCTGGGGAGACCAGG